AGAGAGAGAGAGAGAGAGAGAGAGTGAGACAGAGACAGAGAGAGAGAGAGAGAGAGAGAGAGAGAGAGAGAGAGAGAGAGAGAGAGACAGAGAGAGAGAGACAGAGAGACAGAGAGCAGTCTGATGAAGAGAGGTCAGCAGGAACTGAACACACACAGATGATGTGTCCAGTGTGTGTGTGTGTGTGTGTGTGTGTGTGTGTGTGTGTGTGTGTGTGTGTGTGTGTGTGTGTGTGTGGGGCTGGGTTGTGTTTGGGAGATGCAGCAGTGTGTGTTCACGCTTCACCTCATTCGCTCATCTCTCTGCTCAGCTGCTCCGCTATCATCACCACTGTCATATCTCCAAGCTCCTCTGAAAGCCCCACCCTCAAGAGGCTCTGATTGGTCAGCTAACATAATGTGTTGTGATTGGCGGATCAGCTTCACGTCACCAGTAAAGTGCGTCTGCATTAGAGGTGGTGTTCGGTTGTGGTTTTTCGGAGTCGACTCTTAATGTTTGAGTTTGCAGAATCGACTCTATTGACATTCACTTGCACAGCGGCAGGATTCCCCATGCGGTCTCACACCGCACTTTACACAATGCTGCGGCGACAACTGCAGCTTTACATACGGCAGTTCTCCTCTGCTCAGACAACAGCAGCAGTAAATCACCTGCACTCCAGATAAAACAGCATCAGCCGACACTGTACAGCACGCTTTAATCATCTACTGCAGATCATTTAGACAACTACACCACAGTCAGGGAGACGGAGAGGAGACAGAGCCGTTTATTATCGATATGTTTAATGAATAGTCGTGCAGCAGTTCATCAACAAAGAACAAAACTGTTTAGCCAACATACAACGCTTTAAACAATCATGGAATAATGTAGACATGCTCTGAATATAGATGCTGAATACTGAGTCAACCAGATCATCTGAGTAGCGGACGCTTACACAAACAAACAGCTGGATTATTAATTCACTGAGCAGCTAAATATTAAACCCGACACTAAATATTAAACCTACACAAATCATGCATTACCAAAGCTGACATCATCAATAAAGCAGCGTGACAGACCGAGGCTCAAAGCAGACCAGACTGCGCTCGCTCTCTCTCTCTCTCGTAAACGTGATGTCTGAACTGCATCATCAGCCTACTGCTGAACTTCAGCATCTCTCTGCTTGTTTTGTGCAAGACGTTCATGGTTTGATGAGGTTATGTTAACTGGACGTCAGAGGAAACGGAGTGTCAGAGCTGTTTTTGAACACAGTTGTGGCTATATTGAAAACCTTCCCTTTGAATCTAATTTAAATCTGTATAATTGTAGTCATCTACAAAATAAACACGTTTTTTGGGGGTCCCAGAGATATTATTAGGGGCTCACGACCACAACTCCCAACTCCCCGTCGTTTGAGTGACAGCTCGGGCTCGCTGCTCGCCGTCTCGTCACCTCAGCTGATTCCGGCTGATTAGCTGCTGAACTCAGTTTTTTTGAGTTGTTTTCTTCGGCTTTACACAGTCAGCTGCCTTTAGGGATTATTTCCTACAATGATCAGATGATATGGCCTGCTGAGTGCACTTAATTGTGTTCACAAACTATTCACACTGCCTCCATTTCCCAGCTGAGCAGGCACGTGCACACATAGGGCTCGACCTGTGCAGTGCACGTGCCCTTTTTAGTCTTGGATAGAGAGTGCCCTTCCAAAATGATCAAAAGTGCCCCCGCGACGCGGCACACCCTCAGTCCCGCCCTTTAGTAGCCGCGCGACAACACCGCTCGAGTACACGCGCGACAACACAGCTGATGAGTACAACAACAACAACTTGGTGAGTTTTCACCAAGTACCACCTTAGAAAAAAAATGTCTCTCCAAGTACCACCTTACGACGCTATGTTTAACCAGTATTAAAAAATAGCGTAGTAAGCCTAACTAAGCAGCTACAGGTGTGCACAGTTTAAAAATGATGCAAATTAATTCCTATTATTAAGAATATGTATAATTGTCAGTCACTTTAAACTTTTTAAATATTCTGCACATTAACTGTGCTTGCAGATAAAAAAAAAAGTTTTAGTTAAAATGTGCTTTTAAAAGTTCATTAAAAAATGGCGCTGTTCTTAAAAAGTAAATAGAAAACCGCTGTACTTAAATCTAAAGTATTCATTGTAGCCTATTCATCAAAAGCTGGAGATGTTGCTTGGACCTTATAAATAGGCTATGTCATATTCTTTCAGACAAATCTTGAAATAAATGTTAAATGTACATGACAGGGTTCATACAGGCACAGCCTAATAAAAATCAATTTCAGCACCTATTTTTTTTTTCAAGAAAATTTAGTCAAGGAATAAAGATAAATAATGTCTACTTTAATAGTGGAGAGATCGCGATTGTATTCAATCTGAGCACACAGGGCAGGCGATCATGAGAGCACTTGCAGTTCATTTGAAAAAAGCCTATTTATTAAGAGTTCGCATATCTGTTTTAGCGATTTGCGTACATGAATGCGCTCTCTCGTGTTACAATAAATCACTCGCCGCATTTGTAGAAATGAGTAATTGCGCAATACCTCCATTCCCGCGCCGCCATTCAGAATGTATAGAGGAGTGACAGGTCAGAGGCGAGTCGACTGGCTGTCGGAGAGCGAATAGTGTATGTAGATCATCAAAAAGGCAGGAAATATGTCCGCGGTTTAATTACTCTGCTAGACATCTCTATAGTGAAAACATCCGAGAAGCATTAATCCAACAAAACCATTTTTTTAAAGTTGTTTTTCAGTCTCTGCAACACAGAAAGCATTTGCCCCGCCCTTACTTTTCACGCAACTAGACAAGGTCGACTGTGATTGGCTAATTTTCATGTCAGTCAAATCACGCTTCAGAATCAATTCTTAAACTTCGGAAACTGATTTTCAGCAGCTTATGACACAATGCACTAAAATAAACACGCTAAGCACAGCGCTGTGATCGTACGCTTCACAAAACAGCCAGTGCTGATCACATCGATAATATATTACGCATCAGTAAAAGTGTTAATTGTTTATTTCATTATTCAGCGGTTCCTCTGCGTACCACAGTTTGAGAACCACTGGCCTATAGTGTAGCCCAGCGGGATTGACCAGGAGCACCAGTTAACCCAGAGTTCCCAGCACAGCCCTCTCTGGAGCGTGTGTGTGTGTGTGTGAGAGAGAGTACGTTGATAAAGAAAGCTCAGTGTCAGCAACACATCAACACTCTTACCATTAGCACTTCCTGCTGAACAGGAAGTGCAGAGCAGCTGTTCCTGCATAAACCGAACGCTTCATTTAATGCTGTAAACTGTGTGAAATAAGCCATTAAACAGCCGACACACAGGCCAGAACACCACATTAATGTTGACAATATTCCCAAACAAAATAATGTAATGATGTGTCCACCGGTTTCCCCCACAGTCCAAACACATGAGCTATAGGGGAACTGATCAACTACACTGGCCATAGTGTATGAGTGTGTGTGTGAGAATGAGTGTGTATGGGCGTTTCCCAGTGATGGGTTGTAGCAGGATGGGCATCCACTGTGTTAAACATATGCTGGAATAGTTGGCAGTTCATTCAGCTGTGGCAACCCCTGATTAATAAAGGGACTCAGCTGAAGGAGAATGAGTGAATATAAAGTGTGTGTGTGTGTGTGTGTGTGTGTGTGTGTGTGTGTGTGTGTGTGTGTGTGAATATCGTGTATATTTGGTCAAGTGCTGAATAAAGCTGCAGTGTGGGGTCACAGATGTAGCCGCAGGTCTGATGAATGTAAAGCACATGTACACTGGTATTATTTACCTGTATAAATGTGTGTAAAGTTATATTTATTCAGTTTCTTTTATTAATTTCAGTAACATTAATGACTAATATGAAAATGTTCATATCATTAATTTACAATACAGTGTCTTAAGTCATATGTGCTGTCTTTCAGCAGAGAGATTACATGAGACTCGCTTTGTTTACTAAACAGGTGGATCTAGACGCATTTGTGTTGTGAACATTCAATAAAACTTTAAATTAAAACGATTATTTTTTTGTTTCATGTAGTATTTAGTTATGATACTCCCGAAACATTTACACATAAATCTGCAGATTATTTACAAAATTCTCAGCAGAAATATTAAAAAATGTCTCCAGATTCTGTCTGGCCCTAATTATAGGTTTTAATATATGAATGTAATTTCTGAAATAGTGTTTACCTGCAGATCCTCTCTGCTGAATCTCTGGATCAGACACACACTCCTATAACTGCAGCACACTGAACAGCAGAGCCGAGGACTCGAAGAGGAACACACACACGCACACACACACACGCACGCACGCACGCACGCACGCACGCGCGCGCGCAAAACCTCTCACACACGCAAGTTGTGTCTTTGTATCGAGTGAATCTGTGGTGTGTGTGATAATCAAACATACCTGCACTGTGAACACACCTGTCACTCACAGCCGTGCGCATGCGCCCAGCCCACAGCAGCTGCTTCCGGCCTGCAAAAGAGTCCCGTCTGTCCACTTCCGGCTGATCTAAGAACAGGTGCTGAACAGTTTAACGCTAAACGCAGAGCTGAGCTTATTACACACACACACACACACACACACACACACACACACACACACACACACATTATCTGTATTCCTCGTGAGGTAAAGTTGCTTTTAAAAACATGAAGTGAAAGCTGAAGATTGATGGTAATATATTATCTTAAACTAATGCAACTGGACACTGCTTTATGAATGTGTTACCTGCTGCAGCATCCCACATGTGTTTATAGAGTAAAGCAGGCTGTGCCATATACTGCAATGACGGCCAATCACAGAGCAGAGCAATGATCATCCACCAACGAGAGATTCACAGGTGCAGAGTGTGAGACTGACACCCAGTGGTTGAACTCAGGTATTGCACTCCTGGATCAAAACAAACCCAAGCGCAGGTTGCCAGATTGACCGACAGGATCGAGTCTGACGACTGAGTGTAAAGGCTGATCTAAAGCGTCTCCTATATGAAAGCAGCGGCAGCAGACAGAAGGAATATTCTCCATATTACAGGAGTTTTAGTCCTGATCAACAGCTGGAATTGATTTATTAGAGACGCTTCAGTTCCTCACAGCTGAACAGTGATCAGCTCAGCTCAGCTCACGTGCTGTATTCAGTGTTAAACGCTGATAATGTGAGTCTGACAGGACGATTATCAGCACACTACTGACAGCAGCAGCAGAGAGTTCAGCTCAGATCTGGAGAACACACAATAAAGCGTCTGAAACTGAACCTCAGACCTGCAGAGCAACACACAGCAGTGATCCAGCATCTACATGAACCCTGTTCACGAGCTGTAATGTGTGTTGATGAGAGTATAGAGCTCAGCGCTGTGCTGGAGTCAGTGAGTCCGCTATTCTGTGCTTCAGTGTTTACACTTCTGTCCTGCTTCATCTGCTGTAAACTGCTCATCACTGCGCATCTCCTCATGTAGCGTGGTGTCAGCACACAGGGTTACAGTGTGACCTGCTCAGCTGATGTTTACACTCCTAATATTGATATTATTTGCTCATTAATCACCTCATGTGGAACTCTGAATCTGCAGCTCATTTCAGAGTCTGCTACTGTCCACCAGAGGGCGCGTTTCAGTCACAGACGCACACTCTGAGAGTCTTCCTGACTGAACTGATGAATGAAATGCGCTGTTTTCCACCGTCTGGCAACCCGGTGCTGGAATATGATTGGCTAAACTGGCAGTGGGCGGGTTAAAGAGGCCAGAACACAGACAGACGCTCCGGCACGTAACGCACATGTCCACAGCTGAATATCTGACTCCAGCATTGAGTTTCAGATCATCAGGAGATTCACTGAGCATGATCTGAATATCTGCACACACACATGATGATGATGATGATGATGATGATGATGATGATGCAGGAGAGTCACACACTCACACACAGCAGCTTTAATTTCACAGCAGAACAACAACTTAACCTGAACCATATCACAGATCATCATGCTGATATCATTAATCAGCTGATTCACAACATCATAGAGAAATTATTACAAATATAACAGAGATAAACACACACACACACACACACACACACACACACACACACACACACACACACACACACAGCGCAGTTCTCATGTGATTTTAAAATGAGCTCAAACACACACTATATTAAGGACAAAAGAGGCGATTCTTCACAAACACACACTGATGATTTATATAACACACACACACACACACAAACACACGCGCACACACACACACACACACACACAGAGAGAGAGAAGATGCCAAGATACAAATCCTGACCCTGGAGTGTTAAAGAGACAGAACACACACACACGCACGCACGCACACACACACAAACAACAAAACAAAAGAAAAACAGACATTGATATCCACATTGGAACTGAATTATTATTATTATTATTATTTAATAATTGTTAAGTTCTGAGTTCTGAGCTTCTCCTTTATTGTAATAATCAGTTTACTGCATTAAACACACTGCAGCACATCTACACTACTGCACAACTGTACGTCTACTACACACACACACTGCCAAGAGGATGAAAAATACAGTTCACACACACACACACACACACACACACACAAACACACACGTGATGCTGAGACCTTCAGAACCAGTGTGTGTGTCTGGAAGTTTTGAATTGTCTCAGAGAATTAAATACACACACACACACACACACACACGCGCGCACACACGCACACACGCACGCACTAGCACAATGCTGAGAATTTCAGAATCAGTGTGTGTTTGTCTGGAAATTGTGAATCTCCCCTGAGAATTAAACACACACACAAACAGACAGACAGACAGATAAACACACACACACACACACACACACACACACACACACACACACACACACACACACACACACGCACGCTCACGCACCCGCGCGCGCGCGCGCGCGCCTGTGTGTGTGTGTGTGTGTGTGTGTGTGCACACACACACACACACACACACACACACACACACACACACACACACACACACACACACACACACACACACACACACACACACACACAGAGAGAGAGTGAGTGTGTGTGTCTCAGTGACTGAGTGTCTCTCTCTCTCTCTCTCTCTCACACACACACACACACACACACACACACACACACAAAACACTCTCTCTCTCTCTCTATATATATATATATATATATATATATATATATATATATATATATATATATAAATACAGAGTTGAAGTCTGAATTATTAGTCCCCCTGTTTATTTTTTCCCCAGTTTCTGTTTAACGGAGAGAAGATTTTTTTTCAACACATTTCTAAACATAATAGTTTTTATAACTCATCTCTGTTAACTGATTCATTTTATCTTTGTCATGATGACAGCACATAATATTTTACTAGATATTTTTCAAGACACTTCTATACAGCTTAAAGTGACATTTAAATGCTTAACTAGGTTAATTAGGTCAACTAGGCAGGTTAGGGTAATTAGGCAAGTTATTGTATAACGATGGTTTGTTCTGTAGACTATCAGAAAAAAAAAATTGCCTAAAGGGGCTAATAATTTTGTCCTAATTATTATTTGTCCTAAAATTAAAACTGCTTTTATTCTAGTTGAAATAGTACAAATAAGACTTTCTCAAGAAGAAAAAATATTATCAGACATACTGTGAAAATTCCCTTGCTCTGTTAAACATTGTTTGGGAAAAATAAAAATAAAAAACAGATGGGGGCTGATAATTATATATATATATATATATATATATATATATATATATATATATATATATATATATATATATATATATATATATATATATATATATATATATATATATATATATATATATATATATATATATATATATATATATATATATATATATATATATATATATATATATATATATATATATATATATATATATATATATATATATATATATATATATATATATATATATATATATATATATATATATATATATATATATATATATATATATATATATATATATATATATATATATATATATATATATATATATATATATATATATATATATATATATATATATATATATATATATATATATATATATATATATATATATATATATATATATATATATATATATATATATATATATATATATATATATATATATATATATATATATATATATATATATATATATATATATATATATATATATATATATATATATATATATATATATATATATATATATATATATATATATATATATATATATATATATATATATATATATATATATATATATATATATATATATATATATATATATATATATATATATATAATATATATATATATATATAT